AGTAGACCAAGTTGCTGTATCAACTGCAAAAAGAGGACCTCAATTATTCTTTACTTAAAATGCACGTGTTATTCCATAAGAAATAGTTTCTTAAGAATACTTATCAGGAAAATACATTTTTTAAATAATATAATAAAAAAATAAGGATTAACGAAATGAACATACAAATCACGATAGTAATCTTTGCTCTCGTCGGAAAAGTTCAGCTTCCTGTCAAGAAAATGTTTTAAAAAACCCCACAAATTTCATCACGCTGAATTTATTTATTTATGTGTTTGTTTTTTGTATTATAGACGCCGCTTTCTGCAAAATTGTGAGATGGAGGAATGGCAAAACTTCTCATCAACTCTTTTCATAGGCGTATATTTTATTTTATATTTTATAACCGTCGTTGAGCAACCCACCCAATTTCGAGTTTACGGTTACCAATGTTCAACTCTATATCCTTGTAGTTTTGAAACAATTACGAAAGACAAGAGAACTCCTGGATCAAGTATTGGAAGATACTTGCTTTCTTGGAGGACTTTTTGATTAAAGTAACCCGCATTTGCGTTACTTGGAGAGGAATACCACGAAAACTTTCCATGGTTTGCCTGACGGTAAGGGAACTCTAACCCTTAATCCGTTTATCACTGAGGATATTTTACGTCAGCAAAGACTATAGTCGGTGCTAGACGGGTGCGGATTCGTATCGACCAGTCATCGCTGGGATTCGAACCCGGTTCACTTCATTGAGAGGCGAATGCTCTATCCCCTGAGCCACTACGGCTAATCGGCATTTACTACGTTTACATTAAAACGAAATTTATAATACTACATTTTAATTTTTCCATTGTTTTTTTATAGCAAAAAATCCTTTTCATGAATTAATACCAGTACTAAAATAAAGTAAATATCTTAAGTCTTGCCATCAATTTAATCTTATTCAAATTTTTATTATTTACTTATTTTTGTTACTTATTTATTATCAAGATTTTTGTATGGAATGAAAAAGAAAAATATTCTCTTATACTCATTTAAATTTAATTTAGTTTTGTTTTGTAAACGAACATTGCAAGATTTTTTCCCCTTTCCTTTCTTTATCACTAGTAGATTAACGATTAATACTTATTCAATTTAATATGTTTTAAAACTTAACGAAAGCGCATTAAAATAAAAATCCTCAATTAAAATAAAAAATAAGGAAAACACAAAAAAATAAAGATTGTAATTTTTTCATTTCGAAATTTCGGCAACATGTATAATTAGTATAATTTTAATGCAGTTTCCATAGGTGCAAAAATTTATTCTTTAAGTGAAAATTTCTTCCTGTATTTTTGCAAATTTAAAATACTCTAATAGCTTGAGAGGCATATTACGAGAAGTCTGATATTACCATACTTTAAAACATTAATATTTAAGATACAAAAATTATTTGCTTATAACGAGTTGAAAAAAATATATTAGCTTTCCGCTATAGCTGCAAAAATTCGCTTGAAAAAAATTTATTTTTCTGTTATTAAAATTAACAAAGTTATACGAAAGACTAACCGGACTTGTTAACTAACCGGAAGAAGGTTCTTTAAAATGTATTGCGTAAAATATAATA